TTTCACCTCCGTCCGCCACTCCCACCCCCTCATTCGTCTCGTTTTGTGTACATACACCTTTGGCGATTCTCTCTCTACATGCACCCCGAAAAAATTTGCTCCATCGAGTCGATTTTTCCAGTCGATTCAAGTCGATTTTTCCAGTCGATTCAAGTCGATATCAGCTCAAGACATCTCTCTTTAAAATACGTTAAATAAAGTAATCTTGAAACAAGTCGGATGAATCCCGCGAAATGTTCAATCAAATAGAAAATAAATTCGATTGAACTCGACTGAATTCTTTGTATCGAATGTAATGGAGGAGCAACAGTGACGAAGTTAACCTGGTGAATTGGTATTGGAAAAGAGCCTGAGGAAGAGCCTCGGTGCAGTCGAGATTGTTGAACGATGGAGAAAGGTCGGTGTCGGTGTGTGGGACCAATCGTTGGCTACTCTATGCCGCAGTGCAGCCGGAATAGCCGGACGATAGGAAGCATTTTCCGAGCAACCCATCCCCTCTATTTTCCTTTCATCTCCCCCATTTTTATTTATTTTCTCATCACGAGAGCCTCCACGTGACTCCCCCTCTCCATGATTTTTTCATCTCTCTTCATCTCGGGGAATTCCCTGGAGTTACCTCATAAATACACCCGCGGAGAGGTCATCTCCCACCCCTCCTCACCCCTTTTTCACTCGAAAATGTTTAGGAGCGAGAAAACCCGGGCATTTAAAGCGATGTAGGCCTCCGGTTTTCATCAGGGCTTTATATACCCCGAAAAGTCAGTGGGGAAATGGGTCTCGGTGTCTGGCTCGGTACCACTGCCCGAGAGGCGCAACCACCCACCCCCCACCCCATTTCACCTTCTCCACGAGTGGATTTTTTTCCACGTGAAATCCACCACCACCCCCCAAACCACCCACATCTATTCGTCTTCACCGCACACCAGGTTTCGAGGTGAACTCGTGCAACGTCCAAATTGACTTTGACTCCATTCAGATTCCCCCATTTCTCCCCCCAATTCACCCCAACTCCCCCAACTCACCCCAACTCACCCCCTTGATTTATCACTCTCCGAGTATCGCGAATGTGCAAATGTACGCAATGCGCTTCCTCCTATTTTTTTTTCTCTTTTTTTCTTATCGTTTTGCCGTTGGGGGGTGAGATGAGGGTGCAGAGGGGGATGAAAAGAATGGGCATGAAAATTTGAGGTTAATCGTACTGCAGATACATTGCGGCTTTGAGGTTACTCCTGGCCTCTTCCTCCACCCATTTCATCCCCCCTTTAACCCACCCTCGTTTTACGGTACGTGGCCGCAAATTTGTCGGTACTTTGTCCCTATTATCGTTTTCAACTGCTCTCCCCTCTGCTCTGTACCGCAGGGTAGTTTCGTGTGAAACTGCGGTTGGCGGCTGTGGGGATGGGGGGATTCCAGGGGGTAATGGGGGGTTAGGGGGAATGAGGGGGATAAGTGTGTAAAGGGACACGAGAGTTCTCGTTATTGACAACGACCTATCCACTGGTTTGATGCGCCGGACGTTATCAGCATGAAGAGGGGAATTGGCGATATTTTATTGAGTGATTTTCTCGTTATTTCACTCGATCGAGTGAATGCTCAATTGTGCGATTAAACCATCAATGTGCTTTGATTTTTTTTTTTCTCTCATTTTTCACCTCGACGTTTTACTCTGTCTGGAATTTGTCAGGTGTCCATTTCAAGCGCATGTCGATATCCAATGAATTTGTTGTGCATTTGTTGTGGATTTGTTGTGCATTTGTTGTGGATTTATTGTCAATTTGTTGTGCAATTCCATTTCAATCGTTATCGTCACTACCGATCGCTCTGAATTCCTCGATTCCTGCGTGACCTCCACTAATTCCATTGCGTATAATTTTTCTTTTTTTTTTCATTTTTTTTTTTTTTTGGGGCTGAGTGGAAATAGCGAACGCGGAATTAACGGTTTGTCTCCGTAATTCCTTATCACTGACACAGTTTTAACTATCAATTTTTATCCGGGTAGCGAGGCAAATAACAATAGTGGAAGGGGGAGAGTACATGCCACGAGTTTTATATGCGAGACATTTATGTTTCACAATGTGCTCCAGTTCTACTGCGACGAAAATTCGACCTTGACCGATCGAGATACCCCCCTGGGGGTGGAGAGAATGCACTGGGAGTACACCCTGTCATAATTTTCGCGATATCGCTCACGTGATGTTGGCAGTGCACTCTCTCTCTCTCTCTCTCTCTCTCTCACTCTCTCTCTCTCTCTCGTTGCAATCGAGGAAATTTTCGACGGTCAATTACTATCTGACCTCGGTCCGCATTCTTTCTAAATAAAAAAACCATAAAACTCACCCTCCCGCATCACCCCCGAGGGTGAAAGAAGGGGATGAGATATTGCACACTCGTTGGACACTCGTGCAACCCCCGTGGAAGTCTCTTATCTCGCTAGTCACCCGGAAACAGCAGCTGTCGCAAGGAAAAAAAATTCAAAACAATATATCACAATAAAAAGAATATATTTATTTATTTATTTATTTGTTAAATACTTTTTTTGGCAATTGCAGAGTTGACGTTTGATGTTTCGATGGTTTTTGTTGTGACGGGTCGAGGATACGCTTGTGAAGCGAGAGGATTGGAGTGAGTAAAAGCGGAAAGGGTAGTTTGACGAGAGACGGAAGAGGGTTGGGGTTGGATGGGTGCTTGAGAGGGCACTGGAGGGTTGGTGTAGAGGGGTAGAGAAGAGGGAATATGTATCGTTGGTATATCGGCGAGGGTTATGGATGGCTCGTGGGCACGCTAACCCAGTGACACCTCTAGGTCACCCGTTACACCGAACTCGAGGGTGCAAAAGTGGTGGTGGATGAGGGGGTAGGGTGGAGAGGCAAGAGGGTAACTCTTCTCGTATGGGCCGCTATCGCATGTTCGCGTGATTCCCGTTTATATCCATCCATCTGCCCTCAGACACCCCTCACAACCCCTCCAAGAACTCACAACCCCCTCACTCTGCATACTTTTCAAATTGCCATCTTTCTGCTTAGGATATTTGGGGAATCCAAGGGGGTACGAGGTCTGGGGGGTTGAGGGGGTGGTATTGTTTCCAGGTTTTTCCGGTATTCAATGGAAAATTAAACATTTTTTTAGGGAATTCTTTTTTAGAATTCTGTTTAGTTCACTGGAATCAATCCAATCTCGAATTTATCTCCCTAATTTTTGATTGGTAATTGAAAGAGGATTTTTTGGATCAATGGATATTCAGAACTCCATTCAGGAAAATTCGATTTATCTCACTTTAAGACTGTTGATGAATTGAATTTTCCGAGTTTTTGCGGGGTAGACATTTATCTGTACTTTGCTCCACGGGGAGTCATCCATTTTGGAGTGGAGAAATGAAACAACGGATTATTTAGGATAAAAAATTGAAAAGAGGAAAAGTTGTTGAGTGAAAATGGTGAAATGAGTTTAATATTTTATCCGAATGATAAATTTATTTTTGATAGGAAATGGTTGAAAAAAAAATTGATTAAATCAATGGTTGGGAATATTTATTAATATATTTTATTTGTTTTTGTTTTTGTGTTTTCAGAGGTGGCAAAGTGGATAGGAAATTGAGGACAGGGAGACACACGATGACTGGTGGAAGGGTGATGTAGCTGTCGCTGAAGGAGAGACAGAACCGGTCTACAACCATTCTACTCTTTTATTTTCCCCAAGTGTCGTCCCACCCCCTCCTCCCACTGCCTCCCCCACACACACCCCCCTTTCACCCATCCACCTTCTTGGATTTTGCCGGCGAGTTCGGCTGCTGTCTTGAAAAACCGAGAGGCGTCCAGACGTCGTCATTGACGTGAGGCGAGTACCAGATAAAAATAAGGAGTTCATGTCCGAATTTCATCAGACACTTCATACACTCTGAGAGAAAGTTCAATTGAAATTTCGCCAAACCTCCATCATTTCTATTGGACCTTCACTCTCACCTCGATCACCCCATTTTCCCAATATTTTTCATTTTGTTATTACTCATCATTATTTTTTATAATTGATTCAACGAACAATTTATGGAATCAAAACGAAAAATTATTATTATTATTAAAATAAAATTCGCGTGCTCATCATCTGAATAATTTGGGTTTTCCAAAATATTCTCGAGTTTGTAGACATAAATTTAAAATTCAGTATTTGTTTATTTAATATATTAATATGATTGGGGGTTTACGACGAATAGACAGTTGACCCAGTTTTCACTTTTTTTTTTAAACCAATATTGGAAATATTTTTATATGAACTGATATGTGTTGGGAAAGTATTATCTCTCGTCACTTCTTATGCAACATTTCTCTTCTATTTTCAATGTTGGAGGATTGTTCAATCAACTCGTGAAACATGGAGAATCGATGGAGAATTTGTTGCATGAGAGGCTTCACAACTTCATCAGCGTTAACAACGGGGTTTTATGACTCGGTGAAAAAAAAAAAAACCCGGCGTTTAATTAACGTTTTTTCGTAAAATTGAGTGAAAAGACAAGCACAAAGAGAAAATATCTACGGTACAAAAATCGAGTTGGGATGTTGTTTTTCGGTGCTCGATTCCAGTCATGAAGGGAGATGGCTGAAAAATCCAATTAATCGAGAGTATTGTGTCGGACGATCGCAATATTTTTCCAGGATTTTTCACGAACGAGGCGAATGGCTCCGGAAAATTCAAAGAGCCCCGTAATTAGTGATTTTTCAGCGTTAATTAACGCACCGAGGGAGATTAAAAATCCTTTGCAACAGCCATTTTTTAATTATGCATTTTTTTCCGAAGGGGCGGAATTTGGGATATATTCGTGGAAAATTCACAAAAAAAATACAAAAGAAGAATTCCCTGAAGAATGATTTGAAATTTCCAAAGTTATTTCCCAGCAGTGCGCTGAACTCTCGCTTCGTATTTTTAATTATTTTTATTACAATACAGAATAAGAATAAATAAATAAAATAATTATATGAATAACCAAGGGATTAAAATAAACAGGGTCGAAGGGGAGTGGAGAGGAGTGGCGCGAGTACGATGGCGATGACGAGAGGTCGTAGCGCCCTCCTGAACGTGGAAACACTGGTGGTCCTGACTGTTGTTGTCGCTACAACCCTAGACTTTGGGGCCAGGGCATCACCTTCCCACAGAAGTAGACACCATGCTGATCTATCCCACGAGGAGATAAGTCAGCAGAGTCCACAGAGCCAACAGCACCAGCAGCAGCAGCACCAGCAGCAGCAGCACCAGCAGCAGCAACACCAGCAACAGCAGCAACAATCGAAGAAGTCCCACGTGATGGAGGAGCCACTGCCCCACGCTGAGGCCCAGAGCAGTTCAGATGATCCACTCATTATTCAAACGAGAAAGGGACGTGTACGGGGTGTTACCCAGATAGCACCTAGTGGCAAGGCAGTTGATGCCTTCTACAGTATACCATATGCCCAAAAACCCATAGGTCGTCTCAGATTTCGTCATCCTCGCTCTGTCGACAAATGGGATGGCATTCTCAATGCCACCACATTACCCAACAGTTGTGTCCAGATATATGACGAGGTCTTCGGGGATTTCTCTGGGGCTACCATGTGGAATCCCAACACTGAACTCAGCGAGGACTGCCTCTATGTAAATGTCGTTGTACCTCGCCCCAGGCCAAGCAATGCTGCTGTCATGGTGTGGATCTTTGGGGGTAAGTTAGTCCCAATTTATTCAAGATCGAGTGTCTCAAACGACGGTGTCCAGAATTATTGCCCCAGGAAAAAATATCCAAGATAAAAGTCTCCGGAAAAAATCTCCCACTCGAAATCTCCCGGAAAATCTCCCGGAAAATCTCCCAAAAAAAACGAAATTATTCTCCTTTCTCTTCATTTCGAGTCGGATAATCAACCGGATGTAATATGCTTGTGAAAAAAAATTTTTTTTTCGTTATTACAGTCGCTGTTTTATTTATTTATTTTTGGATGTATTATTCGAAAGTATTCGACGAGAAGGAGACCTATAAAGAGATTGATTATTTGCGCCCATAAAAAAAAGAGAGAGATTTCAGAGATTTTTTTTTCTCTTCTGGTAGATTCAAGAACGCAATTCGTAGCTGCACTCAGATAAAATTAAATTTCTTTTACTCCAACATTCTCCGTGGATTAGCAGTAAAATTTGTCCCGACGTTGTCGTAAAAAAGCGACGCATCTGAAATAAATTGCAATTATGTCAGCCTAATTAAAAATGAGTATCTTCATTCCCTAATTATTAAAATTGAAACGCGAAAAATGGTTAAAATCCTGAGAAGCCCCTGAGAAGCGCCGGATGATTTTTCATTGTGAGTAGTCAGCCATATCGCGTTTTCTCCAGGTGGATTTTATTCTGGCTCGGCTACTCTCGACGTTTACGACGCGAAAACCCTCGTCTCGGAGGAGAACATCATCCTCGTGTCGATGCAGTACAGGGTAGCTAGCCTGGGGTTCCTTTATTTCGGCACATCAGATGTGCCGGGCAATGCTGGACTCTTTGACCAGACGATGGCCCTACAGTGGGTCAGGGACAACATAGCAGCATTCGGGGGCAATCCCGAGAATGTCACGCTCTTCGGTGAAAGTGCTGGAGCCGTCTCCGTGTCCATGCATCTGCTGTCACCATTATCTAGGTAACCGAGTGTTCGTCATTATTTCCTCTGCTTCACCCATCTGTTTCCGGAATAGTTTCACACTCAGCAATTACTCAATTGGCTTTTCATTAAATTCTTTGGGGGAAGTTATTGAAATTGTTTTGGGGTATGCATTCATCAATTACCCACGATGAATAATTGATAGCAATCGACGTAGACTTTACAATAAAATAAATAAATATTTGATAACGAATTTTATAGGCGAATCAATTGAAACAGGAAAATTCCAGTTATTCAGAGGAAAAGTCATTGAAAATATTTTGCAGCCAGTGATTAATGGAACATTTGATTGCACATGTTTCCCTGAATTAATTCCAAATCACTTGTTTTAATTAGGGGGGAAAAATGATCTTATCTGACTTCTGAAAAATTCGTTTCGAATGTCAAGAATTCATCCAGTAACTTAAAATCATTGTAACAATTTTCAGAAATTTATTCAATCAAGCAATAATGCAGTCGGGTTCTCCAACTGCCCCATGGGCGATAATATCCCGCGAAGAATCAATAGTCCGCGGACTGCGACTGGCTGAAGCAGTGGATTGTCCGCACGATCGAAATGATCTCCAGAAAGTGATTGATTGTCTGATGGAAACAGATCCACTGGCACTGGTGAACAATGAGTGGGGTACCCTCGGTATCTGTGAATTCCCATTTGTTCCAGTAATCGATGGATCTTTCCTTGACGAAACACCAGGCCAATCCCTGGCAACGTCGTCTTTCAAAAAAGCCAATATCCTCATGGGCTCCAACACCGAGGAGGGCTTCTACTTCATAATTTACTATTTGACAGAACTATTTCGCATTGACGGTACGGAGGATGTTAAAGTGTCACGCGAAGAGTTCATTAAAGCTGTAGCCGAACTAAATCCATACGTGAATCAGTTCGGAAGACACGCCATTACTTACGAATATACTAATTGGCTGCATCCCGATGATCCTGATGCTAATCGTGATGCACTCGACAAAATTGTTGGTGATTATCAGTTTACGTGTAACGTTAATGAATTTGCGGGACGTTATGCTGAGACTGGTAATACAGTGTATATGTATTACTACAAGCACAGATCATTGCATAATCCGTGGCCGAGGTGGACTGGTGTGATGCACGCTGATGAGATAAGTTATATATTTGGTGAACCACTCGACAGTACTAAAAAGTACACCAAGGAGGAGGTGCACCTCTCCAAGAGGATGATGCGTTACTGGGCCAATTTCGCCAAGACCGGGTAAGAATTTTTTTATCAATTTTCCAACTCCTCAAACACTGCATCATCAACAAGCTCATCAAAAATAAATACAATATTCTTCCAATTCTTCAATAAATTTAATATTCTTCCAATTATTCAATAAATACAATATTCTTCCAATTCTTCAATAAATTCAATATTCTTCCAATTATTCAATAAATTCAATATTCTTCCAATTCTTCAATAAATTCAATATTCTTCCAATTCTTCAATAAATTCAATATTCTTCCAATTATTCAATAAATTAAATATTCTTCAATTCTTCAAAAATAAATAAATCCCTCTCACTATTTTCTAAAATCAAATTACCATCGAATTTATTAATTTTTTATGTAGAGTTGTATGAGATGGGGTTTAGATGGAAAGTTTTTGAATTTAATGTTGGCATGTTCAGGGATCCGAATATGGGAGACGACGGCTCGTGGACGGAGGCCTTCTGGCCCCGTCATACCTTCAAGGATAAAGAGTACCTGACACTCGACACAAACACGTCAGACGTCGGCTATGGCATCCGAACGCGCCAATGTGCATTCTGGAAGAAATATCTGCCACAACTTCTCGCTGCAACCTGTAAGTACCCATTGCATTCTCGTCATTCCATCAAGCATAAACTCCCCTTGAAAATCTTATAACCACCTCAAAGATTCACCATAAATCGAGTTATCACAGCAAGGACAAGGAAATCGTGAATCATGAATTCTCCCCGGCGGATGGAACTGAATTACCGATTCCACAATGCGGTTGCAGTCCTATTTCGCTTCACTCGCTCGTAAAATACCGAGAAAATGCGAATCCAAGTGTCTTCCCTACAATCCTCCCTAATGAACCACAACCCCAACCAATTACCTCTTAAAAAAAAATCATAAACATCCGCTCTCCAAGGAAACATGTGGAAAAAAATTATGAATTCAAAAATATATATACCATAATAATAATAATCACGTGAATATAAATATATCATTTTATAAATTGAATAAAATTTATGCTTCATCCATTTTAAAAATAAAATTCAACGAAGAGATAAAAGATAACAAGTCAAATCATTCCCCAGTCGAGTATCCGCGGAACATCCCCGAGTCCGAGAGCGATCGAAATTTTTCTCAGAACCCCTTCTGCAAGATCCACCAAGAGCTACAAAAAAAAGCACATGATAAAAACTCGCCAATCCCCTGACATTCCAAGAAATCTTCAAAAAACTGAGCCATTACCAAAATCGATAGTAACCCTTCGCTCCAACTCATGAATTAAAAAGAAAATGTTGTTCCATCTCCCCTAGACCTTCCCCTAATGAATTAAAATCATCCCCCAACGCGAGCAATTCAGCAACCAAAAAGGACGAAACGAGAAAGTCCCAAAAAAAAAAAAATTCCGAGCTCTCATCGAGCCTGCCATTTGATGAAAGAATAAAGGTGAATAGAGTGAAGCCTGAAAATAAAAACGGAAAAATTAATTAAGAAAAATTGCAACTGGAGGATAATAGAATATACGACGAAGAAGAGAGATGTAGGGCAAGGGAGATGGGGAGAATTGAGAGGTGGAAGGAAAAGGGGTGGAACTGGCCGGTGGTGGATCGATGCCACCGCACCGTCGAGCGTAGGTCTCGCGCACCCAAACCATCCCCCCCTCACCCTCAACTCTTCACCCCCTCTTACCACCCCCTCTCCCCTCATTTCCTCGATCCACCCTCTGCATTCACCGACGTTGACATCGTCCGGCGTTAACGCTCCATGTCCTGGAGTCGCCTTTCGACCATCCTCCCCCTCACCAACCCCCTCACCACCCCACAAAAATATACACTCGAGATGTAAACCGAGTCTGGACTCGAGACCGGGTCAAACTGATGCGCCACGCGTGTCTCCGCATCACCTATACAAATCGTATACGTTTTGCTGTCTGGGGGTGAAAAGGGGGTGGTTTAACTACTCTCACTCCCTCCCTCTACTTTATGGCTCTCCATATCCGGGCAACTGATCTAAATTTCGCCGGCAGGCAACCTTCGCCCCGATTTCAAACCACCCTGCAAATTTACATTTACTCGGCTCTAGGATTTCACTGTGATTAAAAAATCCCAGTACGCGGCAATTCCGGATTATCGAATTTACTCCGGGAAGTAATTAGGGAAGTTGTTGAGGCCCTGAATTGATCCTGTGGTTTTCATTCCAGAGGGATTTTCGATTTTTCCTGGAAAATCTCAACTGGAAATTACGAATAATTGGAAACTATCGGAATCGTATTCTTATTTTATTTTATTTTATTCATTTAGACATTCACATCGACATTCCTTTGAATAAATAAAAAAATATGGGTCAATGGGATTTTAATAATTTATTGAATCATCCCCGTTCGAATTTTTTAATTCGATACCTGGGCGCTATAAATTTTATTCAATAATAATATTACCCCTCACAATATTCCATAAAATATTACAAACCGAGATATTACACTTTTATTACATTATTTTTAAAAATATCGTCAATAAAAGAATTATTATATAAATACTGGCAAAATATTTTCCTCAATTATTTTTTAAACAATATACTAAACATGAGAATTTCTTGTTTCTCTTCCTTGTTCTTCTAATCCTGCGAAATAATTCTTTTTATTGAAATATTTTTACCTGTCATATTTTGGAACAATAATTTATTAACTCGTAATATTTTCAGTTGTGTTATTTAATAAATAATCAATTCGGTAAACCTGTAAACGCTTTAGTAATTGATCGATCCATAAAGATCCAGAGTTAATGAAATATCAATTAAAGCCTAATTAATCCCGGAATATTATAATCTAATTCCAGCAAAATTGGAGATGTCCTCAAAGGAAACATGCGGCAGTGGGAGCCACAGCCTCCATCACACCCTGATACTCACTCTGGCATTAATCAGTATCTTAATAAACACGGGAGTACTCAGCAACGGGTTGCCATCATCCAGAAGCATCCTCGTCTAGTCAACGAGCAACAACACACAAGTATCTTCCTATTCACTGAATTCACTTTCAACTTTTCATTTACCTGGGGCTTTCCTCCATTCGTTTAGTGAAAATTATTCGGGGAAGCACGCAGGCCTCAGTCCCCCAATAATTGATAATTAATCGTTGGGTTCGGAGGAGGGCCTTTTATCACCAAAAATTATTTTACCAACAATAAAACTAAAAATATAGTACGAAACAATGGCAGACATATCAAGCTGGCGCGCGCGCTCCAGGGTTTTACCAGGGATGATCGAGCGACGATGGCTCAATGTTCCCCAAGGGACTCACTTCCTAGAGCTGCCCTTCGGGAAGAGCAACGAGACCCTTGGGCGTATCAACCCCATTTTCTAACCACTCTTTTACCCTTTTTACTTCTCCCAGTTCGCTCTTCTGGCAGCAAATGCCGAACAATTGGTGAATTAAGGACATCGCGCAACGAGAAAGAATTCTCATTCCAAGTAAATGCTATTGTCCTTAAAATTATGTCCTTATATATCATTTGTTCCTGGGGAAATCCAGTCCTTTTTTTTAAATTATTACGTTCAGAAAGGAAAATAGTAGCCAAATGACACCAATTATTACTCAACCCTTTTTATTTATGTTAATTTGCAAATTGCGACAAATCATGGTTTGATTACTATTGTTTGTTACAATTGTAATTCACGTGGTGATTTATCCGGGTATTTTTTAGTGCTGCATTCAGTTTTATTGTTTGACTTTTTATTACGTTCGCTTGACGTTGGGTAGAAGTAATAAAAAACTTGTTGATGGTTTTGCTCAGTGGAAGAGGTAAAAATTGATTTGCCAGTGGCTCGTAGAAGTGCAGTGTCTGTCTCACTGAGCTATCCACAACTGAAAAAGTTTGTTTTTAGTATTGAAACATGTCTTTCTGCCATCGTCGCACGATTTCCCGGCTAATCCCACCCCCGTTGCAGTTGAAATTGGGACAAAACCGTATTACCCAGTGCTAAAACGAACTGAAATTAAAGTCGTTGGATGAGAAAAAAAAATTAATCTCCGAGGAATTTGCGTGCTGTGAAATCCCGTGCAAAATCAAATTCTGAGTTTTCATCAAATCAGCGAGAGCTAAAAAAAAAAAACTCAGTGAAATAAAAATAGAGGAGGAAAATTCCTTTTTTTTCCCTCCACTGTCATCAGTTAATTCGTTTTTGCGCTGGGGTTGAAGCGGTTCTTTCTCTCGGTTTTTTCTCCCTGCAATCGTTCGAGCGTCAGACAAAAAAAAATATATAAAAAGTACTCTAGCATGAGTGAGAAAAGGAGCGAACGAGAGGTGTGTTAGAGCGAGTCGAAGAAATAGCACGTGTATGCATCCACCCTGCGGCTAGACGAGACAACCGCATAGTACCAAAGCACTATAAACAAAAAAAGAATAAATCTAGCGAGAGGAAAGAATGAGAGAAACAACAAAGAGTGGATGAGACACAAAAACTCAAAATGATGGACAAAAAGATGAATATTCTAGTGTAAGAGTGCGAGAGAGTGATTCCGAGCGAAATTGGTGAACAAAAATTATCTGGCGAACAAAAGAGGACAATTGAGTGAACATGAGTAACAGGTAAAAATATGAAGTAATTACCTAAATGAATTTCATTACTAAAACGAGAGCCTACTAGTAAGCTTTATACTATTTATATATAAAAAAAAAACAAAACAAATTGATCATTAATGGGTACATAGAGTGATACAAAAGAACAATTTAAATAAATTATAAATATCAATGATGATAATGGTAATTGTAATGATAAACAACGATAATAATGATATGAACGGTAATCAAGAGTTTAAGAAAACAAATTCATGACTATGAAAAAATTTATTATTTCTTATAACAATAAAAAAATAATGCATTAAACGAAAACTATCAACTTAGTTGCCTCTCATGTTCGTTTTACACTGAACCCAAATGATTGCAACAAAAATCGTCATTTAATTCTATATTTCTCGAGTCGATTAATTAATGAACACATCGACGTGATCAATGATCGGAGGAATCCCATTTTTTTTTTCTCGCGCCTAATATGCGAATAAATTACTACACCTGGAAGAATGAAAGTGTGAGTGATAAATGTTTCTAGACGCAAAAATTTATAAATTTAAATAAAAACGTGGACTACTCCAACGCACTTATAGACGTTTATAAAATCGTGACAGTTTCGCGCTGCCTTAAATTATCAAACAAACCTGAGAGAATATTTATTACCCGATACTATAATTAAAGGTAATAAACACCATGAGAAATAACTGACCCAACTTTTCCACGATTCACGTATCACCCGAGTACTGAATGATAAATATCTCCGGATCTACCGAAAATATCAAAATTTTTATGAAATCCTTTTTTGCGCATCTCAATAATCCCCACAAAAAAGATTCCTACAAAAATTTCAATATCACCCCTAAATCCCGAGATATCCCCCTCCAAACTGACTAAATCAATAAATAAACATATCTTGCACTTGCTGTTGTCGTTGCAACTATTACAATGATCATTATCCCACGAAATTGTTGTTAAAATCAGAAAGTCGCTGAATTTCCCCGAAGATCTAGGAAATGAAAGAAAAACCAGGAAAAATTAAACGACTCGTCTATAAAATTCCGTTCAATCTCATTTTTTCTCGTGCAAAGAGAAAAATGTCGTCGAATTGAATCTAGCAATGATCTCCACCTCCTAGGGATATCTCCCCCTGGCACCGAGAAAAAAAAAAATTAATAAAACCCCAGAGGTATCATTTTATCACGCGTTGAATCCACGAAGAACTCTAGCAAAAAAAAAATAAATAAATAAATGAAGAGAACGTGAGACGCTGTAGGATAACCCGAGGATGTACAGGAATCCGTGTCTTTATCCACACCCGGTTGACCCCATAAAAGTTGATTGGTTGACCCGCGTATCCTCTGTACATATACCTGTATGACTTCCTCACAACCCTCCACCCCTCTCACCCCCCAGGGCCGCGAAGAGGATTTTTCCTCCAACGGGAATTGGATGTACGAGAAATAATGAGGAGAGAAAAATCGTAATAGAGGAGCATTGAAGAATATATATATCACGAGGAATATAAAAAGGATATACCGGCGTACATAAAAGAAAGGGGAATAACGAGAATAAAAGAATTTCTGGAACATTTCCAAGATGTCGTTTCGTATCCTATTGATTTTTATTCCGCATCCTGAGGAGGGGAAAAAAATAAAGTAGAAGAAAGCGGTACGACGATATAAAGAAATTACTCAATCCCTGATGGTATTTTTTATTTCCAGTGTGAGATGCAGGAAGAGCGAGAGTCTCAGGGGAATATTTATTTTTCTCGAGTACATCTGACACTCGGGTATTGAAACTTGTTCATTAAAATTATCAATTGTCAGAGGGTTTGGGTTAAGTGGAAAACAAGTTGAAAGATAATTAAAAGTTACTGCTCTTTTATTTAATCCCAGAAGTACTACATTTTTTTATTGTGAAAAATTCTTTTGGAATAATCTTTTGTTCAAAATTTATTGTTCAAAATTTATTGTTCAAAATTTAATGAGTAGTTTAATCTAATTTTTCACTTGATAGACAAATATGGGGGCGGATTTTTTTTTTTTGGAAATGAGAGCGTTCGATTGGGTTGAGATATAAAAATTCTGTTGTGAATTTTTTAAATTTATGCAGAGTAGTAGAAAATCCGGGGAAATACGTATCAAGTCTTGTGACACTCTCCGACTTTTTTTCCACTGCCTGGAAAAATTTCTATACCTATATTATATATCATCTATATATAAACGTCAACGCTACTCAGTCCGCTCAACGACCAACGCCTCAATGACCCTTTTTTTCACCCCTCGAGGCCCTCCCACCCCCTCACCCTCGGGCTTTTTTTCTATTTTCCTCCTCTTTGGGTTTTTCTCTATCATCATCCTCGAGAGGCATCCTCAGAGCCCTCAAAAACAATTGCCCGTAACCTCATATCACTTTTTCTTACTTTTTTCCTTCCCCTCTTTCAACTTTTCCTCTTTGTTTATCTTTTCAGTGTTCCTCTCTCTCTCAGCACCGAAAGTTGGGTCGGTTTAATACTCGATTTAAATGAAAAAAAAAATTAAAAAATTCTATTTACACGGGCGGTACTTTTTCACGCGCAACACGTGCACCAAAATGGCGTTATGAAATTTTCATCTCTAGCTCCGTCGAATGCGAAATTCTCGCTCAAAGATAAATCATGGAGAAGCGTGTACTATAGGATTATTGAATTAAATAACTGTAAAGTTTAATAAGTTAATGAATAAGTTACCAAAGATGAGACGGCGGTGGGTGGGGGGTGAGATAATGAAATTCATGACGAGGAGGTGAAGTTTTTCTTTCTCATCATCTGTGGAGATTACTCAAGTTGGGGAGTTGGCAAATGGCACTGCCAATTGGCATTGCCAATTGACATTGACAATTTCATCCGTCTTTCAACCTTCCACCGAGTGTCCACACTGCGTGAAAATTTAGTCTTGGATTAAAAACGGGACTATGAAACGCTGAAAGTGACGCGCGTTAACAGGATTAAATTATAGAAAGTGTTAATTATACGGATTTAATATTCTTACGCCAGATGCCAGGCGTTCCGGCAACTAAAATTCACTTGCCAAGTCGTACACTGTTGGAAAATTACTCTGACAATTTAACCGAAATGAACTTGAGCATTATCACAAATTTATCTGCATTTTATTTTCATTAAACTCTCCATTCTCGACTTACACATTGGCCCTATCGCCCCATTATTTTCCTCAATTATTAATTTATTGCGAATGCAATTGCATTTAACGTTCCATTCCCATGATGGGTTTATTACTTACAATAAATGAATGGTAGCTGTCATGAATTATTTGATTGACTGATTTTGAAATTTACCCGCGTACAATTCTTTGGGGAGTCATGAATTTTTTCCAACAATGTACTGACCTTCGGAGAACAAATTAAACAAGTATTTAAAGTGAACATTGAGTGTTAATTGAATTTACTAAAATTGGTATGCTTCGACTATTGACGTAAGAGTAAAAAAAAATTCATGACCAGATTAATCATGAGATTAAACAATAGGGCTGTTACAAAGAAAAAGATTATATTTAAAATAAACGAAAGTTAAACTACAAGAGAGATAAAATAGAGCTAAACGGCCCAAAGAGCGTCAAAAGAGAGTGATTAAGTCGTGTCATTAAATGTGGCTCTATGTATCTAAAAATGTACCATAATTAATTAATCAATCGAAGTGATGGATAATGCGTAAAAAAAAAAATTGATGGCACAGCTCGGGCGCGTTACCCTGCGATAGTGATAATGTATGTATGAGATAATTAAAATGAGAAAAAAAAAACAACATACGGCTGCCGCATGCACTTTTTCGTCATTACCTATTATTTCAAATTGAATTTTGTCATATTTTTAAGTAAGCCAACGGTAGAATTAAATAAACATTGCCAGACTGACGAACTTCCAGATATCGATGAGACATGGAGGTGTATTTGTGAAAGTATAAAGCGTAATAAAGTATATATATAAAACGAATAAAAAGCGAAGATGGAACTTAACTCGATGGAGACCATTACAATCCATCGCAAAATTATCCAGCGTCATCAGGTTTTTCCGTTTCAATACTCTCCGCTTTGAAAGTTTTCAAATAAAAATGTGAAAAAAAAAACAAAGTTAATCTAGGCGCGCACGTACCAATTGATTGTCACCATTTATTAATTAAGAGATGGGAGGTGGAGGATCGGCTGCTATGAAGATGAGGTACGAGTGCTAATTGAACCAGTGAACAATTTAATTGCTTTTGTCAATCGAATTGGGGGGGAGGGCAATGTCGCGGTGACAGAGGGAGAGGGAAGAAATTAAATTAATTATGTCAATATGGTATTCCCACAGCGCGTCGCTGGAAAAGTAGCCCGCAGGCCTAAATACGCTCTAATCGTTATTTATAGATAATGAAAAATAATAAATTGGTCGACTGACGCAACATGGCACAGCCCTGTTGAAGGCCGCATTGCTGTGTCTCATCCGTGGATCAAAATAACAGAGTGTCAGGGGATTCAATCAGTAGCGAACTCGAAAATGGAGAAAATTTCAATTTCAAATTTTTATCGACTATCAATTCATCTCAAAAACAACCAATAGAAGTGTTTTACGAGGAAATATCAAAATACCTTTTTCCTGGAGAACTTCATGAGCTAGAAAAAAGTCCCCAAACATTTTCACCGTGAATCGATAGATTTTGAGATAAATTGATGATTATGGAATTTTGATTTTGGTTAATTGATCTCTTCGCTACTGGAGTATTGAGGAGCTGAGGTTCATTACAGGCGAATTAAAGTGGAATAATGATAATGGGGAGGCATCAGGTCTTCTGCGCACTCGGGGGTATTTAAAATGTAAAAATCGAAAGTGAGAGTGACTCTGCACATTTTTGTCACGATAATGTGTGATTTTTTATGTGAGAGGTGCAATGATTTCATTCAAGTCCACTGACTTTGAGTTTTAAAATCAATCGTTATCGAGCCAATGGTGTCCAGATATCTCCTCCACGATCAACCAGAAAGAAGAGAACACCAATATTCCCGATAAATGGAACGAAGTCGATGAAAAAAGTAGAGCACTCGCGAATGAAACTTTTCAAAAGTGAAAATCATCTTGCAAATTATCGCAGATTACTATACAATAAATATATTACGCCATACTGCATTTACGTGAAAGAAAATATTAATTACTACTGTTTCATAGTAGACATGTATATTGTATGAAAAATAACGACAAAAATACTTACTGCTTGTATATATATATACAGAATATAAATACATATAAATACTATATCAGTAACTATAAAGTAATAAATGAGAGGATGACAGTGATGATGAGATTCTATCGTAATAAAGAATAATGTACCAATGAGATATCGTCTTAAAATAATTTTTTATTCGATTAAATCCTTAATTAATTCACAATTTGGCACCGAATACCATTTTAGTCGTAGCAAATGCAGAAGTCATTGGAATGGAATTTCCTTTATCATTCATTTCATGTTTTGAAAGCTCCAGCGTGGGCGGCTTTGGCGATGAAGGTCTTCAGGGTTGCCTCGTCTAATTTTCCAAAGTGAGCAGTTTGGGTGACTGCTGTCATGTGATTCAATGCGAATTTAAAGCAAAAGTCCTCAAGCTCCTGAAAATAAAGTTTCAATCACAAAAAATTAAAACTGTTCCTCGACCTTTAGTTGAACCTTTTACTTTCTTTTTTTTTATATAGTTCTTTTCCAATTTTATCATTTCGTGAGTGGAAGAATTATTCTATCACGAAAACTAAAAGTAAATATGAACAACTCACTTGAGCATTGTACTCGATGGCTGTTTTGTAGAGGAATGCCACGTTGTTGACAGTGATGCCTCGTTTTATCATCTGGACACACTTGCGCTTAAGCTGAGTCTCGAAGTAGGCGTTTGCCAGGTAGAGTAGCTCTGTATAAAATTTTAGGCAATTGCTAACAGCAGAATCACATAATTTCTGAGATGAATTTTTTTCTGACCTACCCAGTGCATTCTCTGATGGTAAATCTACTTCGTCTGTGTATAGGTAACGGAGAAAGGATTTGTAGACATCGTGGGAGAATTCGTCGTGCTCTATTATTCTAAAAATTAATTTTTATGCTCCATTAATTGATAATTCAATGGCACAGAGCCAATGTTCCTTCGACTTGAATTTCAATCCAGTAGCCAAGTAGGACGAATTTTATTTTCATTCAATATCGATTGATCTTAAAAATTATTGATATTAAAAGGAAACACCACGAGCTATTTTATTACTCACGATTGATTATTTTCAGTCCAGTGTTCTTGGAACATGGACCTAAAATATTGACAGCGTATTTTCAGCACGGCCTTGTGAACATGAATGGGTTTTCCCTGCACTTGGATCGTAAGATCACTACTTGCCTGTGAAAATTAAAGAGGATAAGTGAATGTCGCTGACTAAACATAAGAGCGAAGCTCATCATCACTTTCAATTAGCCCGAGAAATTATGCAGATGATGAATACTAACTGGATCGTCAAATGCTTGTCTCAAGCAGTCTAAAATACTCGTCTCGTCTTGAGCATACAGTACAAGGGGTTCGTGCATGACAGGTGGTGTCGAGTAGCACGCCAGAACATCGTGCAAATAGAGAAGAGGAGTAGCAGTGGGTGTCGTCACACTCTGACCCCGACATTGCCCCCACATAAAGACTTTACCACCTTCAGCGAGTGCAGCACTTATGTGATTCGAGTGGACTGCTGCTATGTCAGATACTCTTCCCATCTCTGCCATCGATAACTGAATCAAAACCAACACTTCACTGTTCCAAATTTATTGTAATTCGATTGATATCATTCTGCTGGAATTCACTCAATCCAATGACGCAGAGAATATCGCGATGAATATCTCTGAATCTAAAAGAAATAGCGATTTTTTTATCACGACTTCGTTTGAAGAGCGAAATGAGAGGTACAAAAAAGCTTCTTACAAAATCTCGCTCTCTCCTAGATTCAAAGATATTTTTTAATTTTTACATTTCATTCCCCTTCGAAATCCCTTATCATGAAAGACCCATCGGTAAGTGATGAAAAAAAGTTCTACAAAATTAAAGTTAATGTTAATATACATTTCCCGGAATTCCGATTCAATATTTCACCTTGACGGGCTGACAGGCATTAGATTTACTCCCAAGGCCCAACTGTCCGTATCCATTTCCTCCCCAGACGTAGAGATCTCCCTCGTCACTCAATGCCATTGCGTGACCATATCCACATATGACTTTGTCTGAAATCCAGGACGAGATTTATGATAATAGAACCGATGATTCATTCGACTGAACGAGAGAATAATCTGCGCAGTTATTTTCAATGTAAAATAATTCAATAGCGAAGTTGTAAAAGATAACATATCGACATGTTTCTAAATTGAGCTTTTGAGGAATATCTCTGAGTCTGCAAGAAATCGCAAAATTTTCACAGAGATCTTTTCCATAGCCCGCTTTCCACTCAACAAAAAAAATTGGACAAATATTTCCATACCTCCCTTCAATTCAGAGATATTCCTCGCGAATTTAGGTATTAGCTAAATCGACATTACCTCTTCGCTACTGAATCGAAGAATGTACCTATGACAACACCCGTGAGTCCAGCAACTTTATTTGGACTCAGCTGGTTGATGTACGTCCCAATGCCGAGTTGTCCAACACTGTTATTCCCCCAGGCGTAAACTTCTCCGTTGCTCGTCAATGCCATACTGGAAGTCTGGCCACATGCAATCTGAACAATTTTTTTCCCTGCTAAAACAGAATTTATCTTCCGAGGCGTATTCTGATTGGTACTTATGCCGCTGCCCACCTGGCCACACGTATTCTGGCCCCATCCATACACCTGGGAAATTTGAGAAATAATGATACACCTGGACTTGTCATTTGTCATTTTTATCTGAATTTATGCTGCTGTTTTTTTATCGTTGATTGAGCTCCTCCTCGTTTTCCAGCGAAACTGAAATCTTGTTTGACTACCAAAATATCATGGCAATAATTCGGAATATATAGACTCACCTCTCCATCTTCCGTGAGCGCGAGAGAGTGATGGCTTCCACATGCTACAGATATAATGGCTTTCTCCTCAAAGTTGCTGGCAACTTTGGTGGGAGTTGAACCTTGGTTGGAAGATCCATTACCAAGTTCGCAGTAGCCATTGTGTCCCCAAGAATAGACCTCCCCCTTGGCTGTGAGCGCAAGCACGTGGGGACCAATTCCAAAGGCAAATGACTTGATTCCCTTCTGGAACAACGCCTCAATTTTCACTGGATAGAGTGTACTGTGACCATCACCAGTTCCAAGACAGCCAGATGCATTGTTGCCCAGGGCGTACACAGCATCATCTTTGGTGACCATCAGTGCTTCATTCCCCAGCCCTACAACAGAAGAATTTTTCACTTAAACGTAGTTGTACAAAAAATTGAACATCTCTCATTTCCAATAAAATATTTGTGTTTTGAACAAAGAGAAAGGTAAAAGTCTCACCAAAAATAAGAACACTACTGAGTTCCTTAACAAAGTCCTTCTCCAAGAGACTCAAGATGGGCCAGTTCTTCAAATCTGAGCCAGTCATGATCTCTCCCAAGTGGTCATTCCCGAGTCCAGGGCACCCTCCGAATGAGCGGACAAGTGAAAAAAATCTCCCTCGTTTCCCCCCGAAAAAATCTTCTTCCCTCGACTCCCTGTCAAATATAATCAGCTGACGTTTCAATTTGTATATTTATAGGTGGAGTAAATCCACTTTTTCCCCTTTCCTTCAACGAAGGTGCACTAGCGCTGACTATTCTGGTGGTGATTATCAGAACGACAGGGGTGAGGTGACGGTAGAAAGGAAAATCGATAGCCCATCGAGTTATTTTGCCCAGTTAATAATCCGAGGGATCCTATAAACTCATAATAAATTGAACAAACAATATATAATCCGATCGCAGTAATATATCTCCCAGGAAGGAGTTAGTGTTGACTGTTCTGACATAACCAAACATTCTTGCAGTCGCCCATAGAATGCTTGATGGCGCTGACTGTTGGTTGCAACGAGCGAGACAGAGAGCGAGAAAAGAAGAGAGAGAAAATTCACGCGCTAGCATTGAGGGCGTACTGATCTAAAAAAGCGTCTGGCAACACTGGTTTTGCTAACCATTACAAGCTCTAACCTCGAAAAACTTGAAGGGGGGTCCAGCCAGAGGTACCAAGCAAAAGCCAGCAAAGTAGCTCGAGCAGTAGATGTGGCACCTGGCCCCCTAGCCATAGGGGACAACCAGACCACTATCAGGGAGCACACCATTAATCACCTCACAATCGGAGCTTTAATTATTTATTTTTTTAAAATAATACATCATAAGGGATTTTTGTTGACTTTAACGTGGGCAATACAGTGAACCCAACCTGAATCCAACCGAGAGTACAACCAAGCTATCAATCCCACAAAGATGACCATTATTGTGTTTCTCATCGACACATCAGCCTCCATGAATCAGAGAGCAGACCTGGGGGGACGTCCCACGCTCCTCGATGTTGCTAAGAAGGCTGTTGAGACCTTTGTTAAAGTATATTGTCGCTCATGAATTTTTTAGTGAATTTATCGACTGTTTTACTTTTGTTTAACACATGTTATACACTGGATTCTCATTCTAGGTGAGACAGAGATCTCCTGAGAGCAGGGGGGACAGGTACATGCTGCTGACCTTCGAGGATCCACCTCATAATATCAAAGTGAGGATTTGTTACGATTCAAGTTCATTTTGAACTGGTAAATTATATGTAATCCAGAATTTATGGAGGGTGGGGCACAATGGAGCTCTGTAGATCTCATATTGTTCGATTTTCAATAGAATTATTTTGTTGAGTTTTATATCAGCTTGGAGCTTTTTTCCACAGCTTGAAAATGAGGGTAAACTCGTGGAATTCGATTCTGCCAATATCGAGATATTTTTGTGAATTTTAGGCGGGTTGGAAGGAGAACTTGGCGACGTTCATGAACGAATTGAAGAATCTGCAGTGTGTGGGACTGACAACTCTGTGTGCAGCCCTGAAACACGCCCTGGATGTCCTCAACATCAACCGAATGCAGACTGGAATCGATACCTACGGCCAGGGCAGGTGTCCATTCTTCCTGGAGCCCTCGGTCATCGTTCTCATTACAGATGGTGGAAAATACACGACCGCCAGTGGAGTTCAGCAAGACGTATGTCATACCCAAGACTCTGATCTCGTAATGCCTGGTTATTAATCCCTTGGTTATTGATTCTAGTTCACCCTGCCCATGCATCCACCGATTGTCGGCTCAGAACTGACCAAAGAGCCTTTCAGGTGGGACCAGCGTGTTTTTTCCTTGGTGTTGAGGCTCTCTGGGACACCTGCAGTCGAAAGGGATACAGGTCTCGTCGCCAGTGACACCTCGCCGATCGATGCAATGTGTGAAATAACTGGAGGTAACGACGTTAATTCCAGTTCACTCAGTTTTCCATTCCACAAAATTGAAAAGAATTTGAGAAAAATGAACGCAAAGTAAAGATTTCAAGTGGAAAAAACAACATTTTTTAAGTGCCCACTGCAGAAACCAAAATCCAATGGATTGCAAACCATTATAATATATGACGATCATTTCTGCAAAATATTGATTGATTTGAATAACATTTTGCGGTTCCCCCTCAGTAGAGCTCAAACTCAAAGTTATAAAACAAAATGCTTCCAGGTCGTTCCTATTGCATAACATCCCACCGGATGCTGATGCAGTGCATAGATTCACTGGTGCAAAAAGTCCAGTCAGGAGTAGTAATAAACTTCGAGAAAATCGGTCCGGACCCTCCGCCGTTGCCGAATGAGCTGCCAAACTCCGGCCAACAGCTGCCCCAGAATCCTCTCCCCCTGACGCAACCCCCAATACAACAGGAAGACGAAGAGAACGATGAAGAGAACTCCTCGATCGCAGCGAACGGTGCAAAATCTCAATACCTCCCCCAGCCCCCAATCGCTGGTAACACAGCATGGCACTCGTGCAGAAGATTGATTTATGTCCCTAGATCAGCGCAGAAGGGCTTTGCTGTGGGTTTCTGGCCAATCCCCGAGAATTTCTGGCCAGATCTCAGTGCCAGTACACTGCCACCAAGAACAGCCCATCCACTGGTAAAATTCACGTGCACAAGCCAAGAGCCAATGGTCATAGAAAATTTGCCATTTGACAAGTACGAGCTTGAACCGAGTCCTCTGACTCAGTACATCTTGGCAAGGAAACAGCCGACGACGTGTTGGCAGGTGTTCGTAGCGAACTCTTACAAATCGAGTGAAGTCGGCCATCCCTTTGGCTACTTGAAAGCCAGCACAAATCTCACCTGTGTGAATCTCTTCGTGATGCCTTACAATTATCCAGTGCTGCTGCCACTCCTGGAGGAGCTCTTCAAGGTTCACAGGCTTAAGCCAACCAATGAGTGGCGAACACAATTTCAGAATTACATGAGAACAATGCCCACGTACTATGCAGCCTCGTTACGACGTGCCCTCACGAGAATGGGCGCACCGACCCCCTTAGCCCAAACTTTAATTCCAGACAATATGGATAACTCCCTGTCTTACACTGTCTTGAATCATCTCAAGAGGTTGAAGAACCAGGCGAAGATCGAGTTTGACAGATTGTGCAACGAAGTTATCTCGAAACAAGTGGCCAATGCCAATGCCAGCAAGCTCCTGGTGAATGGCACGTCGTCGCAATTATCAGAGGGGGTTCGAGTGATACCTAGGAGTCCCCTTAAGAAGGACCTGGTGTCCCATCCCCTCCTACAGGACAAATTCATAGGCCTGAGGGACCAGTTGAATGAATTCGGGGGCTTCACTGTACGAGTAGTGAGAAGTCAACAGCAGAGGAGTGCCCACAGCTACAGAAATGCCTTTGATGTACCCAGGAAGAGTCTGCTGGACCAAGTTGTTAGGATGAGAGCAAACTTCCTGCAGCCCGGACTGCTGCACACAAAACTGCTGGACGACGATTACGTGCATTCCATGCCTGTGGCACAGATGGGAAATTACCAGGAGTACCTAAAACGCATGACCCCACCTTTGAGGGAAATCGAGAGTGTCCCAGTGCGTCAGCACATGTTCGGGAATCCCTTCAAGATCGACAAGAGGATGATGGTGGACGAGGCTGACATCGACATGGTGGGGGCAACGTCCTCCAATGCCAATACAAATAACAGTAATTCCTCGGTGGTACTTGCACCTACGTCACCAATATCTCCAACCAATTCTATTGGTAATTCTGGAACTGTGGGGATCACGATAAAAGGCAGCTTAAAGCGTCCTCTGGACAATAATGGGGGCAATGGGAGTGTCAGTCCCATTGTGTCGAGACCACCCAGCAAGAGAAAACCAGGACCAATTCCGAGAGAAGTTGTTGTGAGGAGGCCGAGTTATTCGGTGAATAAAGCACCCTCGCCTGTACCCTGGAGTCAGGAACCCAAGAGTCCCACTGAAGCACCACCTGAAATCACTCCATCCTCATCTGTTCCTCTTATCCCCCATCCTGGCAACTCTGCTACTGTTGCCAATAATTCCACGACACCCACGATCCCTGATAAATTAACCAATGGACTCACTCCTGTGGAGAATGTAGAGCTCGTGGAGAACCACTCGACCCCACCCACTAGCAATAATGTTAAGGGGATTAAGAAGAGTCTCGATAACGCCGAGACCAAGGCCGAGTGCAATGAGAGCTCAGAGGGGCACAATAGCGTTAATTCCATTGATAAGAAGGACGAACGCATCAGCAATCACGTGGAGGAGGCAAAAGTTGTCAAGGGGGAGAGGTCACTGTCCAAGAAGGAGTTGGAGGAGGTCAGGAAACATAATTTGTCAATTAGGGAACTTGTGCATAAGGAAGTTAGGAAAAGAGGAACGAGTAAGTTTCATTCATTAAGAAATAATAAGAGGAGAAGAGTGAAGAAGTAGTTTTTTTCTCATTGATAATGATTTATTTGTTTTTTCAATTTAAGGACGTTTATAATGACGAAATTTTTTGTGTTTTTTGTTGTAGATTATAAAACGCTATTTTCGCACATGCAACAAATAAAAGGGACCCTCGATATTCGAGTTGCTTTTGTTCGGGAGATAGTCAGTGAATCGAAGAGATTCAAACGCCGTAATTTGGCTAAATTGTTGGAGGATTACTTGAGCACTGTCCAGCGGGACGGAATAGGAACGAATTTGGATGTTTCATAGTTAAACCATTATGATATTTTTTTCCTTCACTTTTTTGTTATGCAGATGAATTTTTAATATAAAGTGATGATTAATGTGTATATACACTCAGTAAGATGGATTTCTAAGTGAACTTGAGGGGCAGGAGGGAGGAGAGACTTGTTGAGGAAGTCTCGAGATTCTACAATAAATTTGAATGTTGATTATGTTGAGTTATTTGACTGTTGACTATGTGAAATCATTGTCTTGCATGAGTGACTCCTTTTTACAATTCTTTTTCTTTCTCCAGTTATCATTTTTTTTTTCTACTCAATTTTCCCTTCTTTTTTCTGCAAAAAAAAAACAAAGAACAATATCATGTGTGTTGTGCAGGTCTCACCCCTTTTGGTTCGACTATTGGAGTCGTCTCTGTACGCTTGAACAAAGACTTGCACCGGAATAAAATAATGAATTTTTAACGACAGTTGATTATGACACCAAGTGCGATTTTTATTGATGAGAAAAAATGAAAGATTAATCAATTTGATAAATAAATGAATTGTAGTTATTTTATCATTGAATTGTGCAACTTTGTGATCACAATTTGTACATAATTTACACTGATGGAGAGAAAATTATCCAACGAGAGTATGATTATTGTTTTGTAAATACATACAATTGTATATAAAAAATAGTGTTTGTTAGAAAATATAATTTTTTTCTTATCAAAATTCAACCAAGCATTTTTTACCAGATGGGTAGCCTTATCTTCACGAGGCTGACTCACTTTCTCAGAAGTCTTATCGAAACGCGCGGAAATCCAGAGAAGAGAAGATATTTTTAGAGGCAGCAAAAATGAATATACCACAGCTCAATTGTTTGGCTGAGTAATAGTCTGGGCTATCTCATCGAGAGCCATTAAAATATCGTTAAATGCAATGAAAAATATGAATGCAACGATTTCCCGCGTAAAATGCAACGAAGATTGCAATGAAGATATGCCCATACATGCAGCCATTGCTACAATATCAAAATGGCCGCTTTCAGTCTACAGTGATACGACTCTCTTTGCTGTTTGCCAATAGGCCAGAACGGAATTCATTAATAAATACCAACGTGTGTGTTGGGTGTCAAAATTCGTGGCTGTCGAGTAATCTAGTTAATACGTACTGATAGCGTCAGTGATAAATTTCAGTGAGTACTGGTGTACGTGTGATAATAATTATCCTAACGGTTGTGTCCACCTCCCCTCAGTCTGCAAATCACATTCTGCAAGTTTGCCGGGCCAAGCCCATTGTCTATCGACTAATTTATTTATAGATAAATATTAGGACTGTCGACGATAGCTCAAACCCCCAGCGTCAATCCCTCAATCCTCTCGGGATTTAATTTCAAATTGTCAACTGCAGCTCATGCTTTTTCCCCAGCCCACTGTTTCAAAGCCGATAATCGGGCCTTTTTTCTAATTCTCGATGTTTTATTACAGATATTGACAAGTTCGGATGATGTTACGGCATCAGCATCACTCGATGCAAAATCAGTTGAGAGATCAGAACAGGTTTGGCATTGATTCATCATTTTGTTTAGGAGTCAGTGGTGGAGGACTGAAATTGACGTTTTTCGAATTTTTCTATTCCGGAATTGGTAGACGAAAAAATTACGTTGTTGAATTGATAAATGAGACATAAGTCATTCGAATCGGAACATTTTGTCAGGAGATATCAGGGAAATTCCTTTGAGATGAATTTTTAAGGTATATCTCAGGGTTTTTATGACGAAAAATCATTCAGTAGTGAAGAAGTAAAGGTTAATCGATCCATTTTTTTGAGGATATCTTTAAATCTAGCTGAGGTAGTCGAATTTTTATGAGGTCCTTTTTGATAGCTCTCAGTGTGGTCCGGGATGTCTTGGAAAAAATTCCACTATCTCGATTCGATTCAGAGATATGTCTCAGATACTTATTCATTGGCTCTAATGTTCTTGTTACCCTTCACTTCTTCTCTAATGAATAGTTCGGATAGTTTTAAAATGGCAAGAACTCCACTGCTGAATTATTCGGGATGTGTTGAGCTGGAATAATTAAATAAAATGGTCTGGTTGAACTGGTTAGGATGGCTGGGGGTACGCGTCAGATGTCGCAGGCGAACATGATGCCACCTCACCAGCCACCCCCTCACATGCATCTGCACAGAGGGGTCCATGCGGCCCATCATCAACAGATGATCTCCATCGCCGGTCAACCTATGCACCACATGCCGCACTCCGGCCCCAGGCAGCCACTGCTCATCGGTACAAACGCACAGAATCCCAATGGTGAGTCCTACGAACTCAATGTTATCGTTAATCCAAATCACTATCGCATGGCGATTTAATCATCTTATTATTATTTTTTCTGCCCACTCAACAATCCACAATTCACTAGTTTCCACCGAGTAAAAATCCAGAGTTGAGAATATTGTTGTTTATTGTCAATTCAATTGAGCAATTCAGTAGTGACCTGAAGAATTTATACGAATCTCGCAATCTGAGGGAGATAGCAAAATTTTCATCGAACTTTTTTTGTGGCCCTTAATTTTGTCAGATATCGATTGCTCTCCGATAAATTGACGATTAAAAACGTTAATTTCAACTGATTCGCAGAGACAACTGTGTATTCAATATAAAATTGCGGCAAAATTAACCAATACACTTCTTAATACTTCACTGATATTCACCTCACATGTTTTCTACGGCAATTCATCGTAAATCAACCAGAAACACTGTCTTGCTCCCAAATTCTCACTGACGACAATATTTCCAATGTGAGATTACATCCCCTGTATAATTACCCAGTTATGCTACTCATTGCATCGTGTGTGCACATTTTTCAACACTGACGATAAAATGATCAAATGATCATGCATCAGTCCCGACAAAAGCCTGAGAGATTCTAATAACGATAAATGCCCTGGAATAATTCCTAAATTTTTGGTTTACCGAAGAGTATGATAACAAGTATTCGGTGGTGGTAGTGATTTTTCCCAATTCTCTGATTGAAAACACGTTGCAATCGGCTCAACAGTACTGGCAATGCGGTGACCAATGAACTCCATTATTTACCATCTCGATTATTGTTTAATTTTGTTAGGATATTGGCGCGTTTTAATCTTCTCCCTCTTACTGGCTCTCGCAAGTGGTGGTGTGGAAGCGAAGTTACATCGATCAAAGTTAGAGTTTACTCTCGAAAATTTGGATCTGTTGTTCGGACCAACAGGGTGCATTGAAGGTCGGTTTCGTTTATTAATTTATCACCTTTAAACAAACAAAAAACAAACAAAAAGAAAGAAACAGCCTCAACTCTTCAATTTATTCTCCTCCAATCAATGACAAATTCACAGTATTACACCTGTAAATTGAATAATTGAGTTGCAAGAATCAACTGAAGCTTTCATCTTCTCTACCTTTGTCTCTATCGGTTTTATTTTCATTTTTTTATCGCTCCAACATCAGAAGTATGGAAATTCTGAGATATGGGGGGTCGAGACTTGTCGATGCATCAACAGACAATCAACTCGTCGCCTTTTTCCACTCATCAATTCAATTATTGTTCCACTTTGCCACGAGAACCACTCAAATTGCAGTAGCAATCATGGTTATTCATTGGAAATACTTGTATGTCGACTTGCTTGTAGATGTTTCCACTTGAATTACGAGCATCCTTTATATTATTTTTATATCGCTTTGTTGTTGATAGACGTGATGCTTCAACAATGATTTTTTGGGTGCACTATAATTTCAGTGAATGTGAACGAATTATCTAATTAAAATCTGCATTCATCAGACATTTCATACTTATGTAAATCCCTTTAAACGACTAATTCTATAATTCCATTACCGCCAAAATGAATGAAGAATCCAGATTTTTATTTTAGAAATATATCTTCGAAAATCAGTAGTGGTGTGGTGAATGAATCCAATTTTAGTATTTTTTGAGAGGACCTCTCTCGTCTCAGATTTAATGACCTATAAAAAAATCCTTCACCATTTTTATCTAGAATCTATAGTTTTCGAGATAAATCGATAATTATGGAAATTGTTAGATTCAACTCATTTCAATTTACCACTGAGCTACCGGCGTATCTATTTTGCGAGAGACTGGATGAATTTTGCAATGGAAAACCGCAATCAAGGAAATTGAAGATTTTCGGGTTGTTTCCAGCCGAAATAACTGCGGAATCCTGGGATCCTTCGAACTAATTAAAAAATCATTAAAAGCTCCTACCTCTCAGCCATTACCGACTAATACATAATTTCTCGATCCTTCTACAATATTTTAGTTGAGGAGTTAAATAATCATTTATAGAAAAAATAGATTTCTTTAAAAAAATATTTCTAAAAGAATGTTTTTCTCAAAGATGAGGACCGTGATGAGCGCTAATGGCTGATTTTAGTTTTTAATGATTTAATAATGATAAACGTTGAAGAACTTTCTCTGCAAATTCCTCTGCAAAATTCGTTGACAATCTCCGCCCCCTTCTGACCGCACTGACCCCGCCTCATAATCCAGGCACGATGGTGAGCATTGGTAGCACCAGACAGACCGAGGGTGGTGTAGTACTGCAAGGTCAAACAGTGGTGCAGTATCCGCACCAGGGAAGCCACCAGCAGCCACCCCAATCCCAGGCCCCCTCAAGCCAGCAGCTCTCGCAACCCTCGAATCCCGAGGTCAAGTCCCCAAATCAGGAGAGCCCACACTCTCGAGATCACAGTCCGTCCAACCAGAGCCACAACAATGTCACCAATAATCTGGCAAACATGAAAGAGAAGACACCGATGTGCTTGGTAAACGAGCTAGCCCGTTTCAACAAGATTCAACACCAGTACAGATTGACTAACGAACAGGGTCCAGCCCACAAGAAGCGTTTCACAGTGACCCTGAAGCTGGGTGAAGAGGAATACGTGGCCGATGGGCCGAGTATAAAGAAGGCCCAGCACAGTGCAGCAACAGAGGCATTAACGAAAACCTGGTACAGGCAACCTCCACCAAAACCGAGAGGTATGAGAATTCCCCAGGGCAAAAATCCCACAGGCACTGGCAATTTCACAGGTCATTTACCCCCAACGGTGGAGCTCAATGCTCTGGCAATGAAGAGAGGAGAGCTCACAATCTACACATTCAAACACGCGCCACCAGCAAATCCCCAGCCGTTCGTCAGCCATCAGTACGGAAACATTCCCAATCACCTGAGAATCTTCAATCCCCCTTATCCACAGATGAGTCGACCCTATCATCCCAAGTCTGAGGGCCTCTACTTCGTGACACTCAAGATCGGGGAGAGGGAATTCGTTGGTAAAGGAGTGACTGCTCAAGCAGCTAGACACGATGCTGCCAGCAGAGCCCTGGAGCAACTTCGACAGCTGCCATTACCTGAGGAAGTGACGGCAACAGTCACTGAGAATGGCTCAACGACCGTTGAAGATCCGAATGCCGAGCTCAAGAGTCCTGTTTCACTGGTACACGAGACTGCCCTCAAAAGGGGACTCTCTGTGGGCTTCGAGGTTGTTTCGGAGAGTGGCAAGCCACATATTAGGACATTCACGACAAAATGCATTGTCGGGGAGAAGGTGACTCTTGGGGAGGGGTCGTCCAAGAAAATATCTAAGAAACGAGCAGCTGAACTCATGCTTGACGAGCTCAAGAGACTTCCCCCCATTCCTGGTAGTGTTCAGAACAGGTCAATCAGGCTCAAGAGGAAACCACCGGCCACTAAGAAGAAGTCACGTAATTTGATTAAGGACTATCAGGAGCCCAAGAATGAGGCGGAAACTTCCGACGATGTTAATCCGATATCGCGTTTAGTACAAATACAGCAAGCAAAGAGGGAGAGAGAACCTGTTTACACGTTGATCGAGGAGAAGGGTGCGCCGAGGAGGCGGGAATTTCTCATGGAGGTCTCGATAGGGCAACACTCAGCGCAGGGGATTGGGCCCAATAAGAAACTGGGGAAACGGGCTGCTGCTGAGGCCCTCCTGACGCAGTTGGGCTACAGTAAACCGCAGGCACAACCCAGCAAACCATCCATCAAGACCGCCGATAGTGAGAATTCTACTAGTGAGAGTAAACCGAGGAAGGTGACGTTTTTGGAGGATGATAGCAAGGGGCAGGTACAGGACGAGCCACAGAGTCATGGGGGTAAGCATAATTTACGATCTTTTAACGGTATGTCCTCTTATTTCACCTTTTTCCTTTTGATCCATTTACAAAATTCAATTTTTACATTATTTCATCTTTCAATTTGTATTCTCATTTAAAAAAATAATGGGCGATGGAAGGTTTTCAATCCGAATCATCTCTTTTTATCAGATGATCACTGACATATTCTTCAGATATTTAAAATACTCAAAATCAAATTGTGAAATTCTCAGGTTCTCTGGGACGTCAGTTAGTGCCAGGTCTACTTCTGGTAGATGGTGGACAAGAGTGTAAATTGAACTCCGGGCCAAGTGTTCAAGCAGTGGCTGAGGAGCTTCGGGAGCAGCAGCAGAGCAGTCCCTCGGGTATATCCCCGAAAGAGCAGCTGAAGTACCTAGCCCAGTTACTGAATTTTGAGGTTGAATTCAGTGATTTTCCAAAGGTAAGATTTTGTAATAAGACTCGCGCACATCAATGAAATCGGAAAGATAAGCCAAACTAAACAGAATGACTAAAATTAATAGACTTTTCAGGGTATGTACAAGGAGTATCTCTCCCTGGTATCTCTCAGCACTGATCCACCCCAGGTGTGTCATGGCCATGGGCCAACATCCAGTGCCAGTCGTGATCAGGCGGCCCTCACAGCCCTCCGGACCCTCAGCAAACTCGGTCTCGACAGTGTCACTAACACTCAGACCAAAAAAGACAAACCAGCGACTAATGATGCCATCAATCACCTTAATAATCAGGCGAAGAATAATGTTCTCAATCAAGCGATCGAGAAGTAACGAAGCACACTGGCTTCCTCGGTGCACAATCCTCGTGCATTAATGGTATAAAACAATTCTACATGTCTTTACTTTCATATTTCTTCGTTTTTACTGGAGAGAACGACAAAAGGTCCTTTTTAAAACGCAACATTAAAAATAATCAAGGGAAGGTTGCGGTGAAGTTGAAAAATCTTTGCTAGAATTGAGAAGTTACTTCTCTTCAACTTTTTCTTTCTCGAAAACGTTCGTCAATTCCCCGAAAAAAATGAAAATGTTTCCAATTCACGGGGAAAATCGATTATAATTATTTCTTATATGTCCCGTTATGTATTATAATGTTTTTCCGAGAATTTCCACCTCTAACGAAGACTTTGAAATCACATTACGATCTACCCTTGATTAAATGTCTTACGAGAGGAACTGTTATAATGCAGCCTGGAAATAGTAGTAGTTTGTTGAATTGGCATTGAAGAAGGCTCGTTTTGACGCACTCTCCCCTCAGTTAATTAACGAACCATCCAAACGGGTCAATGGTCGCTTGGAATAGTGGACGCGCCTTTCTTATTTATTAATTTTACTAGCAGTATTATTGCCCTTGCGGAAAAAACATTTTCTACGATTTTTTTTTAAATTTTCTTTTATCCACGTTGAGGTTTTTCATTGATTGTTTAAGGGGAATTGTTCCTTCACTATCATTAGTTGAAAATTGTTGGATAGATTTGTTATTTAATGACTCTTCCGCCTAGGGTGACACATCAACACGTTTTCTTCACTCTGGTAAATAAAAAAAAAAAGATCATTGAAATTGATAATTCCATGCTATTTATTTGTCAAGCGCCATCAATGAAAAAAGTAAATGAACAAAAAAAAATGAATTGGGGGGAAATTATGAGACGACATTGAGGCCAATCTCCGCGGTCTTGGTTGCCTCTAATGATGTCTCGAAATGGATTTTTGAACATGTTCTCTCTATTTTTCATTCTATTTTTCCTTGTTCCTTCCTTATGTTCAATTAAACATAATCTCTTCCTTCCTCTTCGTTCTCTTCGAAATTGATCGATTAATCGAAGAGCCCCGATCAAATTCGAGTGCTCATCGACGTCAGATCTCCTGTTCTCTCGATTAATTTGATAAGTCTTTATTTCCTTGTGTTTTCTGTAGCTCTCGTTTAATCCCAGCCCCATACTGTCACCAATTGTAACTTATGAATTGATACCATTAGACGTTTAACAAAATGGAAAGGACAAAATAAAAAATAAAACCTAGAGGTAATAATCTACGATTCATTTTTTCGTTGCTTTACGATTTACTTGCAAAATGAAAGTTGAATTTTGCCCAGCAATTGTAAAACAACGCCCAGAACCGTAGCCTATCACTTCAAAAGTGAAGAAACAAATTAAAATAGATAAATGGGGAATTTATTGTAACGATTTATGATAAATGATAATGTTATAGAGCACTCTTGGATGACCTCGGTGGCCTCTGTTTCTTGAGGTAAGAAAATCAGGGACAGTAGGACCCACATAACGATGTTATTCGTCTGTTAGTGTATTTTTTTTTAATTATTCAATTAATCGTTCTCTCAACAAAGTTTTTCCCTCATTTTCTCACTACGACAGAGGAGCATTAACGAGTGTTTGTTGAAAATTAACCGGTGTCATCCAAACCAGTCTTATTATCATTCGTATAAGCCTAATAAATTAAATGAAGAATAAAAATGAAAAAGGAAAATAAAAGGTCAGCAGATGCTAGACTTTTGCCAAGATACCTGTGTTTTTTTATTACTCAGACGAAGCCTCGCCCACCGAATGAAAAAAAAAAACTGGATGAAATTATTTTCTCAAAACACCGGATGAAAGAGCAGTTTTTTTATTCATCTTTCTCCATATTCTTTCTATTAAATTTGCGAAGCTAACACTTTAGTGATAATGAAAGAAACAAAAATATCAGCAATCAGCGACACTTTTGAAAAGACATTCTCTCATCGATCCTTTGGTCTTAATGTAATCTCATTCATCACTATCACTTGAAAATGTTCCTTTATTGATTAATCATTAATTTGGTATATTCTAGGGATATCTTTATTATTGCATTAATTGTTCTGTTCTCAGATTTATCATTTTTTTCTCTAGTAAAACATAAGTGAACGTATTTGATTGAAATGATAAAAAAAAAATTCTCTGCCTCGTTTTATCTTAAATAATTCACATGTTAATTCCTCTTGTTACATTAACATAGTTGGAAAGCTACGTCCTGTTACGAGTGGAGTTGCTCCTGACGATTTAAGGCATGACTTTGCTGTCGTTACGATCGCAATGTACGTTAAAGGCCTCGACCGCACGACGTTCCAAAACCCACAATTAATTAATTAACTTGAACTCTGATTAAAAGGAAACTTTCTAGCTAGATCTTTATCCATCCCACAGTTGTTAAAAAAGTGCACAATGGGACACTGAGTCGAGATACCGAGGCTAGTGAGAGAAACCGTGAGAAGAAATAATAATTCAATGTTCCACTGATAAATCAAATGGACTCTCTCCTCGTTCATTGATAGAACCCTCTTAATTATGAAAATTTTCAAAAAGCACAAAATCTTCTTACTGATTACGATGTTATCGATTAAATTCTTCGTTATATCGGCACCAACTCGACTAAATTTCAATGAATTGTGATTCCTAAAATTTTCAATTTCGTTTTTATTCCCTCGTTGAGTTTGAAAATACGTTTTTGATGCACCTTCGTCAGAATTAAAGGTGTCGATGATTATATCTCTCTATATATATATATTTCAACTGTCTGCCGTACATGAGTGTGTGGTGTGTGCCAGATTCATAGTTATCATTTCCTCATGATTCAATTTTATCAATCTTAACTTGACGGTTTTTACCTTCATTCCTTATAATCAACCCAGGGTAGGAGACATGGGCACCAATGAGTGAAAAACCAAACAAAATTCGTCATTATTAAAAATCATTTGGTAACTAGATGTCTCATGCCACTGCAATAAGGAAGATGCGAAGAATTGCGGTTGTTGTTAGGCTAAAAGGTACTACCCTCTGGTGGCTGGGACAGCTTCATGTTTTCTTTTAGCGTCATGAGACGACGTAACTCCTGGAGCACTGTCTTGATCGTATATTCGCGCTGCCATTTCGCCAACACCGGTACACTGCGATTATCCACCTAAACACATCATTCAAGTCATTTCAACACCTCCACACCTCCTCTTTCATATGAATGCCCACTAGACTTTTTTTTAATATTATTTTTAATATTTTAATCTCTCTCTATATTTCATTTATTCAATAATTTTTTCTTTCTGAATTCAGTCCAACGGGGATTTATTATGGTGAAAAATAAAGGTATGGATTTGGAAAAAAATGAATGCTATTGAATCATCATCATCGTCATAAATTCAATCAAGTCTTTTCATTATAAAAAAAAGTTTAGAGGTCTCCCCAGCTATAGAAAGAAAATGATTTACTACCGCTCCAGTGGTACTGTTGATGCAATTCATATTAATCCTGCTGAGAAATCTCACGTTCGGAGCATCGTCAGGATATCGCTGGCCACAGTCTATCTTTAAACTATACATTCTATTCTCATATGGCGTCTGAAAAATAAAAATCCATTACGTCAATTCTCCTGCTCTCAACCCCGGACTCTACGATCCAAGTGAAAATACGTATCGCAGAAAATTTTATTGGATAAGCGAACACGGTTTTTCATCAATATTATAAAAAAAATAGAAGCTCACCCTGGGCGGCCCAATGATCATCCCAGTCCAGTGAGTGAGAGTCATATCATCGTCATTTTCCAGTCCCCAGCTTATAGTCCCATCCCCAACTCCCTTCTGCCCCTGTTCCAGCTCCTCCAGAAGACGAAAGTTCCTGGGAACAACTGAAAACGAATAATCCACGATATATAAATGCGAAATTATTATTCCCTTCTAGGTTAAGACTCCTCCAAATTTCAAGGACCTTTCCAACGACTCCCTCACCCCTGAAATCCACCCCTACTCCAAAAACACAGATTCCACGTCCTCGAAGCATAAAAAAAAGGGAAGACCTCGAAAATAGGGATAAAATCCATTAAAATTAATTATCACTCCCTCGAGTGTGACATTACCTCGACACCAACAACAAAACTGTCAAACTCATTGTTGAAGCCAACTCCGATTAATTAAACAACCGCAATTTCCCTGTTGAAAAATGGATCTGTGCGGAGAGGAATGCCTCCCAGAGGTAATAAAATTCTCCCCAAAAACCTTGAATTTCCTTTTGACGAATTTGACTTACCAACACCGGCCGTGGGCACCGCCATGATCACGAATAACTGCAGGGGCACGTTATTATTCCACCAAAACAGCCGGATATCCTGCCGGTCTATGGATCAACTTTAAAGATTCAATAATTACCCCGTTAATAAACAAACAACACCCCTGATTATTGAATTATCCGTGTCAATTGTATAGAATGATTTTTTTTTGCGATTGTGGATCGAATTCGAGAAGGTTTCCACCAAAAATTACCTACAACCAACCTCCCTCGTCTCTATCAAAGAGGATTGACTAAAGTAGAGGCTCAGTACTGGGGTTTGAGTGACCCCGTCGGCATTGTAATACCTCACCCCAAGAGAGAGAGGGCGGCACAAGCAATGGGGGTGGTTATCAAGTCGACGGGGTGAATTTTATTTTTTTGCGGCATGAATGCTTTTTGTTTTTTGTTTGTTTAACTGGAATTTAGCCGCCTGTAGAACGAGTGGAAGGGGGAAGCCACATTTTGTGGATTTTAAATGAAAAAAATTATT